TTTTTTTTTTCTTAACAATTTTTTTTTTTTTTGTTAACAAATTTATTTCCTTTTGTGCCTTTGTTTTGCCATTCAAAAAACACATTTTGCTTTGCCTTTCAAGAAAACAAATTTGTGCTCTGTTTTATGGTTGTTGGATGCTTGTATAGTTGATGGATTTACTTTTTTATATTTGATATTAATTTTTAGAATATTGATATGACTTATGAGATATGAATGTTATTATGGTAGTTTAAATTTTCAATTGTGCGCCTCACTTCACTCAGGCGCGTGCCTCGCCATGCGCCTCGTGCCTAGGCTGCAAAGGACCTCTAGCGCCTTGGGCTTTTAATAACTATGACTAAGGTTAGAGTACGACTCTAATGTGGGAGATAAAAATTCTCCCTACACGTGCGCATTAAAGTAGTTCCCGGCTGGCTAGTAACTCAAAATAGCTACTATTGTTCGGTTTGATCCGACGTGATGTCCAAGTATGTCCACATTTGGTTGATTTCGCATTTTAAATTTTAAGTTGATAGCCTTGAGAATTTATAACTTGTCGCGTTGTATTGGATGTTCCAATGTTGTTAAATTGTATCATTTGGCCGATTTCGCATTTTAGATTTCTAGTTGATAACTTTGAGAATATATAACTTGTCGCGTTGTATTGGATGTTCCAATGTTGTTAAATTGCATAAATATTATGGTTTATGTTAAATTGTTCTAAAATAGCCTAGGAATGATTCTATAGACTCATTTTGAACATAGATGTTAGGTGGCATGAACCACATAGATTGATTTATATCAAGTTGCAAAACTATTAAAACTTTAGGTTATACGCATGTTCATTTCCTACGAGTAACTTGTTTACTCACCCTAATTATTTAGTATGTTTTCAAGTAATGAAACCTTATTTTGGGATGCACAACATCCCTAAGCTTGTTTGGTAGCTTGGAGTACTTTGGCGTATTTGTATACATGCACTTGTGTGTTTTGCTTTATTTTGGTTTTATAAGCCAAAACTTATATCTTTCATTTGAAATATGTAATGTGCACTTAAGTGCACCTTTTAAGACTTAATTGATGAGTATGTAATGAGGCCAACCGCCAAGTACTTTTCGTTTGCAAGTATTCACATTTGGTTCTAAGTTTTATTTGAAAATAATTTGAAAACTTTGAGGTTTAGCATGCCATATTTTGCATTGGGGGTATTTTGAGGCCGTAGGTCATTGTCACGCGCCTAAAAACACGTTTTACGTTTGCGTGCATGTTCACAATTGCATACAACACCTTTCTTGATGAAATGAACACTTGGAGCAGCTTTCATTTTCATTTTTTTGCAAATCTGGTCTAAAGGGCATTTTGGGTATTTCACTTGAAAAATAAGAATTTCTCTTGACATGGTCACGTAAAAAATATGATTTTTTTTGGGGGGTCACTTCACAACTTTTTTCCAAAAAATGTCATTTAAGCCAAAATCCCTTTTGAACCTCGAAAATCTGGTGCATTTTGGGACTGCTTGTCAGGGTGTTGCCGCGCGCGTGCGCCGTGGCGCCCATGGTGCCCTTCTTGGCATCCTTGATGCTCAGTTTTCGTTTGACCATAACTTCTTCGTCCGGACTCCGAATCAGGCTATTCTTGAGTCTAATTTCGTTAATTTTTCGTTGTCTATCCAATGGTGTGCTCAGTAGCACCCACTTTTGTTTTGAAAGGACCATTTTACCCCTAGGTTTGCATTTGTTCGTTTTTAGAACGTCGCTTCTGCATCTTGTTATCTTTTGAGTTCCGTAGCTTCGTGGGAAGTTACGTTGGCGTCTTAGGGATGACGTGCATCTCTAGAGACTTTGTTTTCTGGGTGAAAAGATCATTTTGCCCTTGGGGCCATACTTGGTCTATTTTCAACCCTAGCATCCGTTTTCATTCTCATTGAGTTCCGTGACTTCATGGAAGGTCACTTTGCCATTTTAAGGATGATGTATATCCTTAGAGGCCTTGTTTATGTTTTTGTTTCCGCATTCGAGATTTGTTATCGGATCAACCTTCGGGTCATCACAGGACGCATTGGCTTGTAAAACCAGGGCCGTCACAGGTGGTATCAGAGTGTTCGGGTTCGAAAACCTTAGGACGACGGGTTTTGGATGCATATCATGTTTGTGCTGACATGTTCTATGTGTTTATATGTTTCTTGATAACATGTTTGGTATGATAACATGTTTACGTGCTTATGTGTTAAGTGTGTATGTTATTTGTCGAGTACCTTTCGATTCTAAAGTATTGAGCATGACATATGATGTATGCTAAATTGGATTTGTATATACATAATTATTGCTGCATATTTGGTATGACACGGGATTGGTCATAGGATGCATGAGTTGAGGATGAGTTGTATGATGAGTTAGGCACTTGGTGCGAAGATTGATGTGTCTGGTTATTTGCACTTTGGTGATTGTCAGCTTGGTTTCGTGGTAGTATAGGTTGCTGTTGACCTAGCGTTGGCTTGGGATTAGGTGGAGGGACACCTTTTGTTTAGGCTCTTGTTGGTTTTGAGCCATGAAGGGGTTGTGGACCTCTTAGGCTCCTTGTTTGTTTGGGATGATTCATTTGAGATTGCAATTTTCGTGGACGGGTACGTTTGTGGGCGGGTGTATGGCATTATAATGCTATCGTACTGGCTAGCTAGAAGCACAGTTCGGATGGAATCAGTGTAGGCTTTTGTTCGGATAGGCGTAGTCCTTTTGACTGACGATGATATGAGTTTTGAGGTTGTTAGAAGCGTAGGATCTCTTGGGTTTCGTTTTGAGCGTCCGGTGTTGTAATAGTAAATGATGGTTGTTTGGGGTTAGTCATAGTGATTGACTTGGTTGTTTAATGGTATGGCATTTCATTTGAGTCCTCCTTGCGTGAAGACGCTTTTGGGATTGCGTCAATTGATTAATGTTTCGGGTAGTGAGAGCATTGCATTGTTAGTGTCACCTTGAGATTTGGAGACAGATTGTTTGAGTCTTACCATTATGGTAAGGGCTCACCTTTGTTTTGAGACATGTCGATGAATTGTGATCCTTGGAGATGGATCGTAGCCTGGACTGATCATTATTTTACTTAGACACTTTAGGACACGATGTCCTTAGGGTTCATTTGTGGCATCATTTTTTGCAGTTTCATTTACTACCATGCTAGTAGTATGAATTGTGATATCGTGATGCATGAGTAGGTAGAGGTGTGTCCACATTTGCCTTCTTGTTGTATTGCATTAGTATGTTTTGTTTATGTACTTAGAGATGCCATGTTGTTACTAAGCTTTAGTGACATGATTTTGTGCTTACGTGGAGACGTGTTGCATATGTTATGATTTTACGTATGTGGGTAGATGTATTTAATTGGTATTTGCATTCCCTTGTTACATGCGTGACTTCCATGTGTAGTTTTACGAGTAATTATTTTCACGAAGTTCCTTTTGGTTCATTTTGGGATAGCACGGGCTAGGTGTTCCCTTTGGTTGCCGTAGTGTGTATGTAGGCTTTTGCATTGTTAGTATTGTGGACTTCCTTGTGCAGGAGTTACCACATTTTGTTTTATCATGAGCTGTCCACTTCCCTAAGGTGGGAAGAATGCTCCTTTCTTTCGTGTTTGTCTTATCGACACTTGTGGGAGAATAAGGTTTCTCCTTTTTTCTTGCTTCGTGTTAGGGACTTTACAAGGAGTGAGTCTCTTCTCTTCATTGCATTGTGCATGGTTTTGGGATTGGTTGATCCGCGAGGATCACCGTTGTTGTCTCGAGTCCTTGGTGAGGATTTGATTGATTTTAGTCGGCTTACTTCCATGTAGGGGGTGAAGTCTTTGCCCTTGTCATCTTTCGTTTTAGAGACGAAGTTGTGGTGTTGTCCTTGTTAGGACTGGTAGTTCCCTTTTCGTGTTTTCCCTTGGGAAGTTTTAGCCGTGGTTGTCGGTGATTTTGTTGTAGTCAGTGTGAGTAGTTTGATGTGAGATCGTTTTATGGGGACTTATGTCCATATAATTAAGGATTTGTTTGATTTGTTAGGTGAGCTCGATGCCCCTTTGAGAATGTGTTTTGGAGACTTGTTTCGAGTTTTGGAGTCTTGGGAGTGGTTGACTCTTAGGAAGTGTTTCGAATGATCGCTTTTGGACATGACTTGTTTGTAGAGTTTTCTCGTTCTAGTTGTGACTAGGCGTGGTTTTAAGGAAATCGCGATTCCAGTAGTTGTTTATGGAATGACGATATGGATTGATAGGAATAGGTGTGTACCTTGAGGAATTTTGATTTAGCTTGGTGATGCCAAACATGGTTTTGAGAGATTCGTTTTGTGACCTTAGTTGTCGGGATTGTAATGTGTGAGCCATGTGGTGGACTTGTGTTTTGAGGATTTAGTTATCCATGATAGGGATTTTGATCCGGTGTTTTGATTACGGTGTGTGGTCTTGTAGTGGATCTGTTTCAGGATGATATTTTGGACTTTGAAGGTGATGTCTTGTAGTGAGGTGTGTTGCAGTTTTGGAGGTGCTGATGTTTTTTGATTTTGGGAAGTATGTGGGACTTTCAAGGTGATGTCTTGTAGTGAGGTTTGTTGCGGTTTTGGAGGTGCTGATGTTTTCTGATTTTGGGAAGTCTGATCCATTGGTTTGAGGGCACAGACTTGTCAGACTTTGGATTCATGGCCGGTGTTGTTGATAGTGGTGTTTGGAAATGTAGAAGTTGATGATTTTGTTTGTATTGAGGATTTGAGGCCTTAAGCATGATGGTGCCTATGACATTGTTGTCAGAGTTATGGGATTGGCCAAAATAGTTTTGTAGGACGTCTTTGGACCATATCCCAACTCTCACCAATGTCTGGTTCCCGCATTGCTTTGGGCAATGATTGTTTTCGACATTGATGTCATTTGTATCGAGAGACTTTACGGGTAGACCTAGCAGGGGCATGTTATGAATTAGTGCCTTGTCCTGTCATGCTACCGTACAAAGTTGTGTGTTGTGGGCGAGTGCTAGTTGTCGTTGAAGCTATACTACTACTGTTATGCCTTTCACCAGCGTTTTGTAAAAAACCGCTGGTATATAAGTACTTTAACCAGCGTTGACTAAATGAACGCTGGTAAGTGCGAAATTTTGTGTATTTTTTAATTGCGGGAAAAATTGGTGCTAATAAATTTACTTTACCAATTTCCCTTTTCATCCATCTACCCTGTGCCCTAACCTAGCTGTGTGTTCATCCGTCTCCTCTCTGCTCTATCTCGTTCTCTCACTGCTCGATCTCCATCTCAGCTGCAAGACTCCTGTACTCTGTCTCGATCTCTCACGGCTCGATCTCCATTTCTCAGCTGAAGCCATTGATTGATGTTTGCTAACCCGCTCTATCTCGATCTCTCACTGCTTGATCTCCATCTCAGCTGCAAGACTCCTCTACTCTGTCTTGATCTCTCACTACTCGATCTCCATTTCTCAGCTGAAGCCCTTGATTGATGTTTACAGTATAACCGTCTTTACTACCCAGATTTCCACCGTACGGCTGATGCACCAGTTCACTTGGTGTCCCTACAAAAATGTTCTTATGAGCCTCTATGCAAACTCTTGTTCATTTTAATCTCTAGTACATATCTCAGTCATGGCTGATTAACGTCGACCGAACTTTATGAACAGTTCTTCCTCTCAGATCTGACTTACTATACCAACTATCATCACTTCCATAAGCCGTAGATCAACACTGGTAGACCACCAGTTTTTTCCAGGTGGGCTCTCTTTCGGCATTGTCTCATCTGAGATTACAAAGTTGAAGCCCTAGGTTTCTCTTTAGGCTGTCTCTCCTCTGTCTTGATCTCTAACCAGCTACTCGATCTCCAAGAGCTGTTAATTTATGTCATTTCGAGATCTGACTCACTAGATTTTCCTCCCGAAACGTTCTCGCTTAAGCCTCTCTCAGGTACCTCTCTATTTTATTTTAATTTCTTTGTGGTTTTGTTGTTTTATTTCTCACTGATCATTCATTTTTCGCAATTCTAGGGTTAGTCGTGCTTGTTTTTGATTCAGCAGACCCCATAGAATGATGGGTCTGTTTTAGTTTTACACGAGGATGGGTCTGTTTTAGTTTTACAAAATTCAATCTGTTGGATTCTCAAACAATTGAATTTTATTGTGGTTCATCTAATTAGGGTTTATAAAATTTTCATCTCAGTAGTAAACAATCTGATTGTTCAAGATTATTTCCATTTCTCAGCTGAAGACCTTGATTGATCAGGCCGTTTCTCAGCTGCGAGGCTAACCCGTCTCTCTTTGGCTATTTCATCTGAGATTACAAAGTTGAAGCCCTAGGTTTCTCTTCAAGCCGTCTCGCCTTTGCTCGATCTCCATAACTCTCAGGTAACTTTTTTGCTTGTGATGGTTGGAGAATTTTCTGCCCCTTCATTCTCTATATGTATATATTAAAAATTATTATGGTTCGATTTCATGGAAATACATATAAAGTCTTTTGTATGAAAAGTTTTTCCTGGAAATCAATTATGGTATTTAAAAAAATAGTCATGGGCAAGAAATGGATCGAGTATTTGTAAGTTGAGTTCCTCTTGGTACTTGTTTATTTTTTGTACATGGGCTCTGCTATAACCTGAGTAATTGTGCTTTTTTTTTTTTTTTGGTACTTGTTTCAAAGTGCCTTTATTCTTGCAATTTGGGCCATGGCTTCGATCTATAACTGAATGAATGCTTGCCTGCATGAGAGGTTCCAATTATTGGGATATAAGCTTTTTTTAATTACTATTAGTAGTACAGGAAAAAATCATTGATTTCACTTGGTAAAACACTGGATGCATAACATTTTTAATCTAGTTTATGATATGAAAGGGTTTTCTGCAAGAGGTTATCGTTGGTCTAAATTTTTTGGATTTGGAGTTGCTTATTGGTCTTCTTTGAGCAGTATGAAATTTATTATTATCAGCCCTTATTTTTTGGAGTTCTCTAGGTAGTGATTGAGATATTACTGTAGATTTTAGTTTCAGAGAGTTTCGGTTTTAGTTTCAGAGAGTTTCAAGTAGAAGGTCTGATAGTTTTAGTTATGTTTAGGAGGAGTTATATTGTGATTGGAAGAGGTATGTAGTTTGATTTGTTATATCCTTTTCTTTCTTTCTATATTTTATTGTTTTCTCTTTATTTCTCCTATTTTGAGATATTTTACTGAAATTTTCTTTTACAAAAAAATAAAATATAAATATCATTGAAAACTCTGCAAAATATCATATATTAAGAATTTGATTGCATTCTCTTAAATGAATTCACACTTTTTTGTTTGCTTCTCCAGAAAGGATAAGTAATAATCTCACAATGAAACGGGTTAGTGAAGTTAAAAAAGTGAGTGAAGAACATACCGAAGCTTGAACTTCAAAATCTTTGAATGAAACTGATAATACTAAATCATCGCAACCACTGGTGAAGAAGAGACGGGGCCCTACACGATGCAAGAATGTCGTAAACGCTACAACCTTAATACCATTAAGGTACATATATATAGAGATCTTATATAGTTTACATAACTAGACTATATTCAATATGAAGGAGAAAAAAGGATTTCTATTTTTATTTTTGTACTAAACATCTACAATTATTAATTTTTGTTTAGGGTCAATAAATATGGACTGCCGATCGGAAATGGAAGTGGTACATATGGTAATTATTTGGGAACAATTGTCCGGAGTAGTAGATTAGCTCCTTTGTGCTACAGAACTTGGTGGGAGATGCCTAAACGGCTTAAAGAGGATATGTGGACCATTGTAAAGGTAAAACCCATTAAAATAATTTTGATGGGAAAAGTGGATTCTCATGCAACAATTATCACATTTTCAGGGAAAGTATGATGTGGGAATCATTTCAAAACAATGGACATTATCCTCTATCTGAACAAAATAGAGGGGGTACAAGTGTGAACTAAGAAGTGAATACTACTCGGTTCGGGATACAGATGCAAAAAGATTGGCAAACCTACCACCTGATGTTGAGAAGGAGCATTGAGAATTCTTGGTTAGGTATTGGGGTACGCCTATGGCGTAGGTAATCCTCCATCTACCCATTTTGTTTAAAGTGAATGAGTTGAATTTATAGTTTACCTGCTTTCCGTCATTATTTTAGGTGGAATGTTCTTTACTCAAAGAATGTTTACTTTTTCTCACTTTTTGTAGAAGGTGAGTGAAAAAAACGAAGAATGTCGTGGGAAACAAACAATGCTTCATACTACCGGGACAAAAAGCTTTGCACGTGTTTCTGCTGAGGTTAGTTGAAGTTTTGGCAATATAAATTATTTCAATTCTTATGTCGTTGAATGATTATAAATGTTAGTGGTAAATAATATATATCACAATGTCTTATGTTTCTTTTTATAGATTGAGGAAAAAAAAGGTATTCAGCTTTCTCGTACAGATTTATTCATTCGTACACATATAAACAAAGATGGCAAAGCTACTGATGCTGCTGCTTCAAAGATGATTGTAAGTTTTTATGCTTCCATTTTTCAAAAAGTGGATCACGTGCCTTGAAGTGACCAGTTTTTAAACTCTTTGCGTTTCTAACTCCTCTTGCTTAGTGTAAATCATCGGCCGTGTGGAGGCATTTTATTTCATTGTTTATCATCGGCCCGTGTGGAGGCAATTTACTTTCTTGCATTTGTTGAAAAGCATGGGAGTATGGGATCATTGTATGTGGAGGCTTGTTGTTGATTGATTTGTGTTGTGGAGGAGAAGTATTTGCTATTTGTTGTTTGTGTTGATTTGCATTGTGCATGCATAGTCGTAGGTCATATAAATATAATAGGCCTATCAACATATTGTATTCTATTTAAATCAACCATAATTCACATCTAATTTGTTTAGCTAAAGAATTATCAAATTTGAGTGTATGTATTTGCTTGAACTTTAGAAGAAGAAAAAAACAAGAAAAGTACTTTAATTTCACTTAAAAGTTATAAAAGTAAATTTAAACAAAAATGACCCTTTAGCTGAAGATTATTGCCAATACTGTCATTAGCTCAATGACATATATTTGTAACAAAAATTTACTAATTTACTGTTGAAGATAGCAAGTCCATAGAAAAAAAAAAAAGTAAACTTGTTTTGTTGAAGATGCAATTCCAATGGCTTGAAATCTATTTAAAGTTGACTAAATCCGAATGTATTTTTTTATTTTTGTGATTCATTAAAAAAAATAATAAAAAAAATATTACTATCAAGGACTGCAGTTCAATTGTACTTCATATTTAAAATAAAAAGTCTGCCTTCAAGTTTTTGTAGAGATATAGGCTGAATGTGTGAGTTTATTGCGAGAAAAAATAAATAAAAATCAAAATAAAATGGTTTTAAACCTAAAAATGACTAATCAAGTCAAATCTAAATCCACTCAAACATGTTCTATTCGTGTTTGATCTACCATCTCGTTAATGTTAGTTGCTTGACCAATAAATGATATACTAAGTTGTTTAAGCAATAGAAAAAACAACCACTCAAAATACACCTGTTTAGTAGTTGGACAAAACATCCCTTATCAATGCAGAACATATATGGATATATGATAATTTTGAATTCAACTGACAAAAATTTGACTATAGATTCTCGTTTGTTGAAAGTGAACATCATTTGGAGGAACAGATAACCCAGCGTAGAGTTAAAATGTCAGACTCTAGAAGGTAGAGCAGTCGTAAAAGTTATCGAATGTGTGTAGTTTAGGAAATTAATCCAACGTAGACACTTAAAATGTCACACACTAGAAGGTAGAGCAGTCGTAAAAGTTATCGAATGTGTACGTGTAGTTTAGGAAATTAATCCAAAGTAGACTTTAGAAAATGTGAAGGTCATTGATTAATTGCATAATGTCAAGATATTCTAAAATTTGGTACATGTCCTACTTGCCTCATCCCGAAACACTGTGTGTGTATGTGTGTTTTAAATAACTTGTGTAGATTATATTGTTTTCTGCCATCATATTGAAGAATATGCAATGGGCTGATTCTTGAAACAATATTGATAAAAATATATATATCATTGAAGATTATTTTTCTTTTTGGAAAGGGCCATTTTTGTTACAAATTATCAAATGATTTTTGTTACAACCTAGTTTTATGGACTTGCTGTATCCTTTGTAAAACTAGAGGTCCCTTTAGCTGTCTCCTCGTCCCTAATGCTGGCATCAAGCTGGAAAATGACCCCCCCTCTCTCTCACTCTATATCTATCTATCTATATACTCCGTAATATATAAATATATGTATACAAAGTTACAGACACATTACTATATGCCTGAGTAGTGTGTGTTCTTGTGGTCTCACAAAAAAAAAAATTTGCATTATAGCAACTAATATTTGGTGCGGTGATATACATTAACATTGTAATGAAATAACAATTGTTTAATTAATATCAGTCAATTTGTAAAAATTTGACACAACTTTTTTTTTCTTTCTTTATTCTCATTATTAGTCTCGGAATCTTAACCTTGACTTGAGTTCAAGAGTTAAAAATTTGACATAATTTTCACTTTATACCAAGTCTACCAAGGTCTCTTGTAACACTTTCATTTAGGCCATGTTTGGTAAGGTGGAAAAGAAAAAAATAAAAGGAGAGATAATGTTTACTACTAATTATATTTGCTACTTATTGTGTTTGTTTAATTAATGAAAAAGAAGAAATGATAGTTATCATGCTGGAAAAAGAAACGAAAATAAATTATTTTAATAAATTTTACAACTATACCATTTTTATGAATTTTGTTTTTTATAAAAATAAAGGCAAATTTGATATTAACAAAAAATTAATAAAAATACTTGCATTTCTTTAATTTCATATCTTCCCATTTTTAAGAGATAACAAAAGTTGGTGTTCATGTTTTATTGCATCCCTCTAAATCCTTCATTTTCCTTTGAATATTTTATACCAAATACAATTTCTCATCTCCCTTTATTATCATTAGTTTCTTTTCCTTTCATTTCTATTATACCAAATTGGCCCTTAAGATTACATCGAAGCCTTTCAAGGTTTTTTTTTATTATTTTATTTCTTTAATTAATTATATGACACCTGAAAATCATGTCAGCTTTACAACAGCGAAATGACAAAGCTGTATTTCCGAAGGATGTTTGGAAGAGTCGTTCAAAGTCATTGTGCGAGCTCTAATGGAGTGTGTGGACAACATAATGGTCTTCCATTTATTTTCATCAGGCCTAACCATCAACCACTCCAATAATTTATTTACAACCATTATCAATGTACTTCCGGAAGCACCAACAATTGAATTTAATTGTGACATGTGTCCAATAATGGATTACAGGGTATTCTTACAAGCATACATAGAATCTGCTCTGTAACTCCAATATCTAACCCTTCAATATTTGTGAAGAAAATTCTGTTTAAAATAAGTTGTGTTTTTTTATTTTATTTTTTATTTTTGCAGGAAAGCATAAAAGATCTTCAAAAAAGTTACTCTGACTCGTCTATTGGCAGTTCCGATGATTTGTACTCCATTGTGAGAGGACAAGAGAGAACTGGTTGTGTGCGGATGCTTGGCTTGGGGCCTACACTAAGCGATGTTTGGGGGCCCTCTCCTAGTAAAGCTGAACTGATTAATAATGCTAAAAAATTTGATGAGGAGGCACGTGCTGCACGTGTAGAGTTGCAGGACACCATTTCAAAAATGCAATCCGACTATGACGACAAGTTGGAAAATTTACGAGTCGACTATGACGACAAATTGGAAAATTTGCAAAAACAAGTGGCTATGGTAATGCAGATGCAACAACAAAATTGTAGTGGACATGTATATTTATTATTCGTTTTACTCTTTATTGAATATACGTTTACTTATTTTGAAGGTTTGTGATTCTTTAAATCCTCTTAGAGTATCCCCTCTAGTCATGCCAATTCAGTTAAGGTTATGGACTTTAATTTCTTATATGTTAAATTTTCATTTATTATAATGTGCGCTTAATGAATTTATAAAAAAAATGTAGGGTAATTCAAATCAAATGGGCAAGAGCTGTTGAAGTTTAAGCTGAAGATGGGGTCGTGGCTGTGCTCTCTGAATTTCTTTCGCCTTGGATGGGTTCTTGAAAAACTTCTACTACATTTGTCAAAAATTCTTAATTCTTTTTGGTTGATATTTAATAGCTTTATCTAGACAATTTGGATGGTATTTTCATATTGGCGGGATAACTTGTGATTGTATTAGTAGACAATTTGGATGGTATTTTCCATATTGGCAGCAGGTTAACTTGTGGTTGTAATATGTAAAACAATTTGGATGGTATTTTTCATATTGGCAGCAGGTTAACTTCTTGTTGTATTATGTAAAAACAATTTCGATGGTATTTTTATATTGTCAACTTGTGTTATATTGGATGACATTTAGTAGTTTTAATTTGGTAAAGATACTTTTACAAAAATAGCAATAAAGGGGAAATAAAAAATATAAATAAAAATAAAAATAAACTAAAACGGCCCTTTATCGGCACTTCTAAGTGCTGGTAAACGACCCTATACCAGTGCTTCTTAACCAAGTGCTGGTAAAGATCCTTCTTTAAAAAGCGCCGGTAAAGGCCTACCGACTCTGGAATCACCAGCGGTCTTTTATGAACGCTGGGAAAATACTGGTAATTGAATTACCATCGTTTTTTAGACTTTCACTGGCGTTTTTGAACGTTGGTGAAAAGCATAATTGTTGTAGTGCTACCTTGCATTACCTAGCTAGTAATGTGAGTGTGGGTAGGCACTAAGCTCTGACATTGCTACCACACAAGTACGTTGTGGATGGGTTCTAGTCACTATTCATATACTGCCACATCACTTTTGTTCGGTACCTTGATTTGATACGTGGTTTATCTTGGAGTTCTTTTGGTGATTGTTTTTGGATCCGTATGATGGTTCGTTAGGAGGGGTGTTTGTGATTTCGTAGCCTTCCGTTCCTTTGTTTGATCTCGAGACTCTATGAGTTGTCCCTTAGTACTCGATGATATGTTCCTTATTGTGACCATGTGTACGGTGTTGAGCTTTGACATGTAACGTGGTGTAGACACTAAAATTTTATTAGACTTTGGTTTTGACAAATTGACCCATCAAATATGGGTTAAATGTTTAATTAAGTTATTTAATTAGCCCGAGGTTGGTCCACTTAAATTATTTAATTAGCCCTACCCAAATGATTAAATGAAAAGATAATTATTCTTAATAAAATATATTTTGAATAATTATTTTTAAGGATAATTATCAAAATATAACCGACCCAGTTATGATTTTATCCTTATCAGGAGATGATACATGTCATCATCCTATTAATCCAAGAAGTTTATAAATAGAGGCTTAGAGGAAGAAGGAAGGGATACACAAAATTCAGAATTCAAAAATTCAGAGAGAAATACAAAAACTCTGCTAATACTCATCCCTAACATCCAAACCCAAAGGTGAAGAACACCAAACACATCAAATCGTGTAGTTCTTCATCAAATTTCACGGTGATCAATAACAAACACATCAAATTGTGCCATTCTTCATCTAAATTCCACGGTGATTCAAGATCAAGCTCATGTAGCCCTTGAATACCAACAAAGGAGATCGAATCAGATGACTTTATCTTTGTAAAAAATATTACAAAGGATTGTATTTCTTTTATTTATCATAAATCAATAAAATTCTGTTTTACTCCATATTTTGTTCTTTATTTGCAAATTACAAAATTTGTGTGTACACATGGCCGTATGGTCACCTTTCTTTTCAGAGTATTTTTGTCATGAACACGTGGGTGCAAATGACACTAGTTGGTGGGTTTTCTTTTAATTTTGAAGTCGTTGGTGTAGCGCGTTGTGTGGGATACTCGGGGATGTACTCCGCAGTTATCCTGGGTTGGCCTTTTATTTTGTCGAGGCTGAATTTCGGGGACGAAATTCCTTTAAGGTGGAAAGGTTGTAATGACCCCGTCATTTATCTTTCTTTCCTTTTTTCGGTATTAATTTTTATTTTTTATTTTTGATAAGTATTATTTGTATATATATTTTTATTTGCATAACCTAGTGTTTTATGCACGACACTGAATCAAGTATGCAATGGATTATCATATTTATGTTTAAATCCGGTGATGAATGCTAGATTCTTCATCTATGAAGAATTTTAACGAGATCCACGAAGCTTGTCAGAATTATAATGATTTGATTCTCATGTCAGGCCCGATGGAGCCTTAGGCAGGCAATAGGATGGCGTATTTCCTTATTTTCTAAAATTTTTATTTTCTTAAATTATTAGACTTTGACTAATAGTAAAAATTTAATTGTGGACCCTAAAAATTTAATTCATTTTAAAAAATTTCATTCCACTTTTGATCAAAACTCAGAATTAAAAGAAATTTGGTGGAGCATTGGATAGACAAGAGGTTGTGTTCTTTTAACTCATATATGCCTATTAAAAATATGAATTCAGATATGAAGAGAAAATATGAATTCAGATATGAAGAGAAGACTAGATAAATAATTCTCTTGATAATTTTGTTGTCTTCTCATTTACAAAAACACACTCCTACGTACTTTTTGGACTCGAACCCTCTCCTATTTGAGATGGGGAAATTTATAGATGCCCTTTGATTTCTCTTGATAAATTTATTATCATTAATAATCAACATAAATAAATAAAAAATTGGTAAAAATTCAACAAATGAACAGCAAAGCCATCTAAAAAAATTATACAATAATAATTTTTTTTGGACAGGTACAATAATAATTTTTAAATAAACATTATCAATTATTCCTTTTTATATTTTTCACTTAAAATCTCAAATTATATTAAGCCGTTATAAAAGAGTTGTTGTTCCTTAATGGTGAGACATTAACTTACTCGGGTTTTCCTTTTTTTTTTTTCTCCTTCAGTAACTTAATCGGTTAACTTTGCAAAAAAAAAACGAAAAGGTTCAACCATATTAGTGTTTTAAGTGTTGTTGTGATGATGACTCGGCTGAGTTTGTTTGATGGACGAACAATGATAAAAAAGACTTCTGATTTTTTTTTTTTTTCTCAACTATAAGTGCAACAATTGATGCAACCAGAGAGGTGCTCTGAGATGGAGAGTATCAAAGAAGAGATAATGGAAGAAGAATTGGGAAGAAGAATATAATGAATTGCTATATATTAATGCTCCATTGTGTTCATCAATCGTCCCAAGTTTTGAATAGGGGTGGTAATTTATGTCCAAAATCATTAAATCATTAAAATCTGTTCACTGAAACTAAATTTTTTTTTAAGTGACTAATTTAAGTGAGTCAATCAATAATGTATAAAAAATAAATACCCATTACCAAATAAATACCCATGTCTCTCAGTCTTCCTCTAACTTTTGTTTTATTGTATGAAAATTGGCCAACTAATTAAAACTACTGCTCAAAACCCTTTTTTCTAAATATAATATTGTTGAGTAAGTTGCATTTTTATTTTTTCAAAAAATAAAATAAAATAAAAATATTGTAACGCTTGAAATAAAAAAATTAATGTACGAACAAATATTTTTTTTTGTTGGTTTTCAGCAATCAAAACAACTTAAACAATTCATGTCTAAAATATATTCATGTGGATTCACTTACCCATTTAAGACCCAACCCATTTAACACCTAAACTGATAATGAATTATTGACCCATCATTGACTTGTCCATTCATGACCAACCCAAAACCCGTCCAATTGTCACCTGTTTTGAATAAGAAAATAGGAAAATAAACTAAATTAAATATTTGAAGAAAAAAATAAAAATAGATATCTAACCTAATAATAATAATAATAATAATAATATTTACTCATTTACTCTTACCCCTTTTGAATAGGCTCCATCTAGGGGTGGCAAATTACGACATGACACGAACACAACACGAATTAAAAGGGTTTGGGTTTGGCATAAATGAATTTGGGTTATAAAAAGGTCAACACGATTAACCCGTTTACTTAACCGTGTCGGGTTAGAGTTAAGGGGTTCAACCCGTATAATACGTTTATGACCCATTTAACTCAATATATTATAATCGTGAATATGACCTATGTAATATGTCACCTGTTTAAACTCAATTACTATGGATAATTAAATCATTTCATCATAAACCATGATTTATCTTTTTATTTTAAATATTTGGATTAATTATGACATTTTTTTTATTTAATATTTAATTAAATATTAAATGTCTCGTTTTGATAAACAAATCATTAAACAGATTAACACGTTTACCTGTTTAATAAATGAATTTGATTAGTTTTGAAAATTTTTGACACAACGATCCACGCACATGAATTGCCACCGTCACCAACTCAAAACGATTTACCCCTGCAACCAATAAAAAAATACCTCTAAAGGAAATCCATCAGAAAGAACAAACCCCACCTGACTGGAAATCATCATTACATTTCATATACCATGACTGACAGACACACAGTAGCGCTGAGAAAAAATAAAAAATAAAAAATAGAAAATAAAAAAAGTACTAGAAGGCAAGAGAGGACTTCACTCTCATAACTACAACTTTTACACACAAATATAGGCTCTGATGTGCGCGTCCGAGGTTAGCTGCACAAGGGCATCCTGGTTTAGTCTAAGCGCAGTCCACAATACGATCCACATGATTATTCACAGTGGTTTAGCATTCATAGTTCCATAAAGTGTAAAAGACGACCCATGATCTACTTGTTTGATGCAAATATCCAAACCCTAGCATAAGCAAATGAAACTAGGGTTCCATTTCCTGCATTTATCTCAACAGTATTACTGAAGACCAGAATTCTAAGAGTGTTTTCTTATGTGCCACTCATATTAAGGAGCCTACCAATGATTGAGGCCAACTCAGTATCATAATTTCTAGCAGAACCTGAATAAACTGCTGGAACCATCAACGAAGGGAAAAAAGAAGAAAAAAGAAAAAAAGCTACTAAAATATTTCACAATATCAGATACTATTCTTGTCATTACAGAATAGCTAAAGACCAAAACAAAACCCAAAAAAAAAAAAAAAATAGAGATAGAGAGAGAGAGATGGGGTAAGCCAACATTTTAAGGTGGCTGTAACATTCGGCAGAATAATGAATGGGCAGAAAGTAGATATTAGTCCTATCAGATATTTATAGTTCTTCGACCATCAGGGGAGCACAATATTTAAAATCAACAGTTATGAATTTTGTTGTCTGCCCAACTTATGTAGAGTATATTCAACTCATAGAAGAGAACCATCCATAAACTCCATTAGCTGTTTCCAGATGTCGAGACCTCAGCATTGCAAACAGGACAGACCTACAGGCAAGAACAAGTCAAAACATTTATTAGCCTCCTACATATAACTGCATAATAGTTCTAATTTATGAGTTTTTCAAAAGAGTAGTGCTACACATCTCAAATTCGAGACGTGAATCTCGAATCTGACGTGGCTATAACTAAAAAGATATAAATATTCTCTATTTTGATACATATTACACTTTCTCTATTCTTTTATGCATTTCTGTTTCCTATTAGCAAATTAAAACGAATTGGCAATTGAAGGGAAAGGTGAGAACGAACAATCAAAATGAGTTTCTCTCTATAATTTTCTTAGCTCTACTAATATTTTTCAATATATATATATATATATGTGTGTGTATATATTCTCTTCTTCACTCGTGTGTGTGCACTCTCTTGACTTCTCGTTATCTTTACTGGGTATCTCTTTAAAATTTAATGGTGATCAGAAAATTTACAAGACTAATTATTTAGACCTGTAGATGGCTAAGAAAATTAGGATTCTTATCACGAGAAAGAAGCCACTTGTTAGAGGTGTCCCACATCGGATCCAAATGGGAATTGAAATGGTTGGGTATGACTATGCAGTAGTATCCAATAGCTTAAGTTTTTGGGTTAGCGGCCAAGCGCCCACCCATTACAGTTGGTATTAGAGTCAGATTTAGTCCTTGATCCGATGTAACGCCAAGCGCCAGGCCAGAACGCGTCTGGGCAACCAACCGTGTAGGCAGGTGGCTTGAGCCGCAACAAGGACGTTGCGAGTTCGGGTAGGGGAGAATGTTAGAGGTTTGTTCCACATCGGATCCAGATGGAAAATGTAATGGGTATAAACGGGTTGGGTGTTAGCCCCACCTAATAGTTTAAGATTTTGAGTCGGATTGCGAAACACCCGACCCACTACGTTGGCATCAGAGCCAGACCCAATTCTTGATCTGGGGTCACGCCAAGCGCTCGGCCAGAAGGATCCAGGTTATCACCCCAGGTAGGCAAGGTGGCCTGACCGTAACGAGGGCTGCAAGTTTGGGTAGGGGAGAATGTGGTGTCCCACATCAGATCCGAATAGGAGCTGAAATGGGTATAAATGGGTAGATCTACAATATTACCCAATAGCTTAAGCTTTTGGGTCAGTGAGCAAGCACCCACCAATTACAGCACTCCTCATGGTAAAAAAAATTGTAATTTCTAGTTTGAATTATCTGAAGCTTTAATGAAAAGGGTTTCTCACCTAATTTTAACCTAACAAGGGTGGAATTTGAACATAAAAGGTGTTATTTGCACACTTTTAAAACTATAGGGGTGTTTTTTACACTTCACTTGATATTAAACCTTGTAAAAAATTATTATTATTATTTTCACTGAAACCAAATTCAATTTTTGGTCAGTGTCAATCAGTAACTATTTTGATCAATTAAAACTGATTATTATGAAAAGCTTGTCCTACTTGCCTTTAAACATCTATGGTGTGCAATACTGGGGATGTTCAAGGGAAGGGATGTCTTAGCACTAAAGAGCAGATCTGCAGGGTCTTTGATATCTATATTCTAGCATAATTGAATTCAAGTTATTGAATAAATTAGGCTTTTACTTCTATAATGATAAGTTTTGCTATTTTCTCTCTCTATCCTATATTAAGAAAATTCCTTTTAAAATACACTAAGCTGCCACCTAATTCGAGGTACTAAATCACGAATTATAGTAGTGATGTTTAGCATTTTCCTTTTTAAAAACTTGGCAATGTATAAATATAAGAAAGATGGAAGTTCTTTCATTGATCCCTGTTTATGATGACTCAGTTAAAATAGGGTTTTCTTTAAAATTGCCAAAGAAATGTAAATTCAATAATTGCATGAATGACAGCATATATTCAAAACATTTAACTCAACTCATATTAGCCTTATTCCAATTCCCACTATCATAGGGCTTTTTCCTTAAAATTGGCAATGAGATGTGAATTTATTAATTGCACATGAATGGCAACATATATTCAAAACATTTAACTCAACTCATATTAGCCTTGTCCCAATTCCCACTATCACAGTTTAACAAACTCATATTAGCCTTATCCCAATTCCCACTCATCTCAATTCTTATTATTTAGACTGAAATGCTAAAAATCCCCTTGAACTATCACAGTTTAACACACAAACCCACACCCAAAAAAAAAACCCACACCCTGAACTACAAAAAAACCCCTTGATCTCTCCAACATTTGGAAATAGCACTCACTCAATAGTCAGTGGTTAATGGCACAGTAAATTAACTTAATTGCCCTATAAATGGGGGAACAAACTGTCAAAATGCAACAAACTCCTTGAACTATCGCAATGTTACAAAAAAAAAGAACCACAAACTATTAATTTGGTAAGAAAAAAAATGTGTGTGTGTGTGTGTGTATAACAAAAAACTAACAAAGAATCCAGATATCTTCTAAGGACCATCTCTCCTATCTGGCATCTTCAAAACCCTCTCCATCTCTGCCCAACTCATCTACATGGTCATCACCTTTAGTTCCCACACTAGGGTTTTTATGCAATTTACCCTATATATGCATATATATAAATTAATGGGTAACTCAATTGCAAAGGAAGTTTAATTAATAAGTAAATACAGGTACTGACAATGGAATAATTTGAAATTTTTTGATCGTTTAGGGAGATTTTGCATGTCATGTGGATATTCCAAAGACTAATATTTTAGGATTTTCTTTTTTTTGGCGGCCAGTGGTGGGGTGGGGGGTTATTTTACTTAGGGTTGCAAACTAGCCGAGCTTTCTAAGAACAGTCCAAGCTCGGTTTTCTAAAGGCTCAATTCGCATCCGTTTATTTAATAAACGAACCAAAAGCAAACAAGAATTTTATGTTTGATTAATAAACAAACCAAGCTCAAACACCCCTCTACTCGGCTCGGTAATTCATGAACAAGCTCATTAATCAGCTCGATTTAATGTGTATGTATATACACACACACACACACACACACACACACACACATATATTATATATAACTCCATTACATTAGGCCCGTAGTTCCATCCAAACCCAACCTAACCCAATTTATGTAAACATAATGTCACATTACCAGCCATCTTAAAAAATGAAATAGACTAAGCCCAAGATAAATAAAACGGGTCAAGCCAAGCCCATTTTCTAAAGCCCGCATATATAAATCCGTTTAACCCTGAACCCCAGCCGCACACTTTCTTCATCCCTCACTCACGTCGCTCCCCTTTGGTAAACTTAGGTCCCTCTCTCTCTCTCTGGCAAGGAATGCCATCTACAATGGCAGATCGCGTGGTGGCTAAACCGACCAACACCACTGTGGTGGCTAAGAAATTCCATTTGCAACCTATAAAGGAATGGCGGTGAATATTCCAAGAATGAAAGTATTTATAATGTATGTGTGCTTTGTATGTAGATTATGCATAATATATATAAATGTGTATGTGCAATACATGTGTATCTCAACATACATTTATTTTTAAACGAGAATCGAACTGAGCTTGAATAGTTTATGAACTTTTGCCAAGCCGAGTTCGAATGCTAAGATGGGAGCTCGACTCAAGTTCCTGCTGTATAGTCGAGCCGAGCCGTGCCCAAATATGTTACTACTCGGCTCGTTTGCAACCCTAATTTTACTCTTTATAATAGTAGATCATTACAATGAGTAAGGGGCACGATGGTCAACAAGGCACAATATAGTCATACGCAATGCACATGGCAAACTTCCGCTATAATGACAATTTGACATGTACCAAACTACAGGGTTTTTTATTTTTTGGGCAAAACTGTTATACTTCAAGAGGGATTTTGCATTTACCCTATTCTTTATACCAACTTTTTTTTGAATATATATATATATAGCTATACTTTTCTGTTGGAAAAAGTTTCATTGGATTGGTGAAATAAGCGTACTTGAATTTCTTTCAAAAATGATCTGGCGTGCGTTCATGTAATTGGAAATTCTCCACTAATATTGTGAGTATGAAGTCATGCTGATGGATGAAGATCACAATCACATTTTAATTCATTTTATACCTGAAGGAACCCTAATGGAAAATATACTGAAGATTGTTAAGTAGACAAAACTTAGTTTGGACTTTTCTTGATAATAGAATAGTAATTAACTCTTAATTGATTTGTGATGGAAAAAAAAACTAGTTTTGGGTGAAACAAAATTTTCAGTGAATAGCCCAGCTGGTACAAACCCACCTCTCCAAAGGGGAGGTCCGGGTTTCGAGCCTCGGTGGAGGCATGGGTGTGTGAGTTTGCTTAACCTTCCAAAAAATATTCAGTGAAAAGGATTAGATCTTTGTAAAAGTGCATGATACATCTTTTGAGTCATTGATTTTTTATTAATAATAAAAATCAGAAATTTATAGAAATAACTCCATTTTGTGATCTTCAAATGCTTTTTTCTACATGCACTTGAATATTGGTACTTAATATAATTTTTTATCCTGTTCAAGTTTCTACTTCGACTCCCTAGCACCCTCCCTCCCTCCCTCTAGCAGCACATCTCCCACATTCTTAGCTAGTAAAAGAAGCCTCAACAGTGATTGAAGAGAAGGATTTCATACTTTGACAATAGATGGAATCCTCTTTTCTTTGCCATATTCCATTTAATTTAAGTTGTAACATAGTATACTTTCAAAGAATAATTAAATCATACATTACCCTATTATATAGCAGACTGCGTATTTAAATGTGAAAACTTGTCTAAGTTCCTGAATTAAAGTAACACATTTCTAGTCAAGTCCCTATACCTAATATTTAGGATCCAAGAAAGACCGATACTTAGACACACAAACACAGCCGATACACGTGAAGTCCAAGGAACATAATTCTAGTAGCAGCAAAGGAAGCTTCAACAATAAACAAAGAGAAAATGGCATTTCCCTACCAGGGGTTTCTAGAAGGCAATCGAGGTTTCCATCAAGGAAAGATTTAGTCTTCCATTAGGATAGTTCAACTCTCATCGTCCTCTTTTTCTACTACTGCTCCAGCATTACCACCAAGCTGAGCCCTAAAAAGGTCTGGAACTTTCAATGAAGAGACATCTGCTTTTCTGTCCTTTTCTTAGCACAACAGGTTTTCTTAAAACTATTATGCCCAAATTATAGATTTCGACACACATTCACATTCTGTCCTTTGTCAACACATCTCCGGCCTACAATGGGGCCATGCCCTACAAATTATAGCTTGAAGGTCTTATTTTTCCAGTTAAGAACCTATTGCTATTTTAAAAGAAAATCATATCATCAATCTGGACGAAGAAAATAATCAAATTTGAATATATATATATATACATATATATATATATATATATACGTGTTATATTAAGACACTATCTCTGAGTAGAGCTGTTAGAATGACTCCAAGTGTGCAAAAAACTCAATACAACCTACCATTTACTCATTATATGCCTAGAGGTGAAAAAACCCAGGCAAGAACCAAGATATAAATATCTTCACACGACAACAGAACCACAACAGTGCATAAGAAACCTTCAGCCCTAATCTTCACTCAAAGATTAATTAAACGAACTAAGAAAAACAGTACAGCTAAAAGAGGCAAGAGTCCCCAGTTGAACAAGGATATCTCTGAGAGCCATAAGTTCAACATAACAGAAATGAATAGATATTTTTGCAAATAACAAGTCCATGTGATATTATATATGCACTGCCAAGTGGTAACATTCTGACATAATATAACCAAACTCCACAGTGCCAAGAAGCTAGGAGTGCTAAATCTAAACAATACTAAGTAAAGCCTCTGATAAATGAATATTATCTTAAAATTCTAAAGCTGCGAGAGAGAACTACATATAGAACAAAACACATGTACCTTGTTTATTCGTAACCAATTGATTATGCATTCGGAGTGGTATGAATGTTTGCAAGAAAGCAAAGTCAAGGTATCACCATCCTCATAGTCCAACCGGCAAATAACACACCTAAGGCACGAGGACAAGATTTTATCAACACATGACCCTCATTTATTCAGTAAAAACTAGAGCTTATAAGCTTACGAATCACTGCTTCCATCCTGAATGCTTTGCATATTGTAATTCATTGAAGGCAAAGATGCAATTGAATCAGCAGACAGCCCTCTGGTTTCAGTTCCAACTACTTCACCCAATGCAACCAATTCCTGATATATTTAACCAAACTCCATTAGATACGGCAGAATTAAATTCCAACTAAAAGCACTAGATACCGTAGCAAACCTCACCTCATATGATAGTTCATCTGGATCAAGTTCCTCCCATGTATCCTGAAAGGCCAAAACAACACATGAGAAGCATAGACTCAAAAGCCCTCGTAAATACTAATCGGGGGAACAAAAAGAGTAAAATACATAAGCAAACCAGAGTTTTTTGGGCGAGATTTATAAAGCGAACCTCAACGAGGCTAAATCATTTATATTATCCTCTAAGGGATCACGAAGAACAAAATGCTATTTTCATAATGGTAAACAATCAGACAGTTATAATTTCTTTATAAAACAAAAAAGCAAGACCCGAGAGATATTATACCAGGAAAATTACCAATTAGAAACAAAAAAACTAAAACTAAAACTAAAAAACAAAAAGTATTGTGAGAGATTGCTAACATCCACGTGGTTAGTAGAGTTTACATTAGGCCTAATTAAAAGAATGTATAAAATTTGACTTATCCTTTACCCACCATTCTCCCCAGATCATCATCTCAACCAGAATCTATTTTCAAAGGAGTGTATTCTCTATAACAGTTCAGCATTATGGTCCAGAACTTTCTTCATAGTGGAAAACTATTGAAATCTAATTGAGGCTTTTTTATGGTAAAAATAGTCGTGTGTTACATGGACTCTTCCAAAATGCATGAAGTACCCTGTGAAATTTCAACCTGAACCTCACCCACATATAGCATGACATGGCTAAAAGCTACGAAGCGTGGATACTCCCCAGGGTCGTCGTGGCTGCATCGGATTCATATCTAACATAGGATATGTGTCCAATACGACTGGAAAGTATCCAGACTTTTATATTTTCTTTTCTTTCTTTTTTTTCAAATTGGATACGACTAGGATATGGCAGGATACTTCTAGAATACAAAGGATATTTCTCAGATACTACATATCAAATTTGTAAATATTTTTATAAAAAAATTGTCCGATTGGTAATTTGGGTCATTCAATTTCTAGGGTTGAGTTTTTCTTTCTCTTAAGTCCAATTGTTTTGTGTTCTTTTAAGTTCACTGTTTAAAAGAACACAAAGGACTAAAAAGCTCGTTGTTTAAAAGAACACAAAACAAAAAGGACTTACAAGCTCAAATTGATACTAATTGACACACACTTAACGCAGAGAGGAGAAAAAGGAGGAGGGAGATCCAATGTCGATGTATTAATTTGGGTCATTCAATTTCTAGGGTTAGGGTTTTTCTCTCTCTTTCTTTGTGTTTTATCTAATTGCCTCTATAATAGTGTCCAGTGTTATTAAAAGCGCGCCAGGGGACGAGGTGCACACAGGCGCAACGTCAATGCCTCTTGTTCCCACAGGCGCAGCGACCTTCATTAGGCGCGCGCCTGGGCTGCTCCTTGGGATTTTTATTAGGCGTGCCTAGTCACGCCTCATCTATTTGTTTCTACAGTTTTCCTTTTATGTGCTTTACTGCTTTGTATTCTTTCTATATGCTAAAACTTTTTAGTTTCCAAAGCCAAGTTTTGTCATCTTATGAAACAAAAAAGAATAAAATATATAAAGCAAGTCAATAGTCAAATAAAAGAAAGAGACGCGGGGGAGTGGGAAAGAAAAGAGAGTGAAAGCAGGTCAGCAATTGCAGCGACAATCCGACGAAGACGAAGCCCTAGCCAACGTCAATCTCTGTTTGGTGACCAGGTCAGTTCAGTTTTTTTTTTCCCTCCTTCTTCTTCTCCTTCTCCTCCTCTTCTCTCTCTCTCTTCGTTTACTTCTTCTCTATCTCTGGTTTTTTTTTTTTTTTTTTTTTTTTCTGGGGCTCCGTTTTTTTTTTTCCCTTTCTTTTCTTCATCTACTTCTCTCTCTATTTTTTTTATCTGTTTTTTCCCTTTTCTCGTGAACAGTGTTTTTGTTTGGGGCTGTGTTTGGGGGCTCTGTTTTTTTTTTTTTTTTTTTTTTTTTTTTTTTTTTTTTTTTCATCTACTACTCTCGTTATTTTTTTTTTCTCTGTTTTTTCCCTTTTCTCGTGAACGGTGTTTTTTTTTTTTCCCCTTCCTGTCTTGAGTACTTGTTCTGTTGGGTTTTTAATTTTCTCTGTTTCTTTTTTTCTCCCTCTTGTTAATGATTTCCTTCTCTTTTTTTCTTTTTTGCTGTCCATTTCTCTCTTCTTCTTCTTCTCTATCTCTCACTCTTCTTGATTTTTCTTTTTTGACTAATTTATTTCCTGCATTTTGGGTTAACTTTCCTGCTGCTGTTTGTTTTTTGGTCTGCTGCATTTTGAGTTGATTCATCAACCAATTCTGCTGTCCATTTAGATAATTTTGGTGTCAGAAATGACAGCTTCTGGTATTCCTTGTTTGAGACCTTTGTAGTCACTGGTCACTGTATGCTCGAAGAAGCTGTTTGTTGAATTTAACTTGGTTAATTGGGTTATGTTTTGCTTCCTTTCTTATGGGTTTAAATATCTTCCATTTGCTTTTTTTTATTAGTGGAGCTTTATTAGTTTAATTGTGCTATATTACTGGTTGCTTTATTGGTTTAATTGTGATATATTTAGTGTTTTTATTAATGGAGGTTCATTGCTGAGATTTAATGTTTTAAATTTTTACTTGTGTGCCTCACTTCACTTAGGTGCACGCCTCGCCGTGCGCCTCGCGCCTAGGCTCCAAGGGACTTCTAGCACCTCAGTGCACCTAGCGCCTTTAATAACACTGATAGTGTCGAATTGTATCAGTAGTATCTCGTACATGTAACTGTGCTTCATAGGCTAAAAGGAACTTCCATGACCTTCTTAGAGAGTATGTATGGTCACTTATGGTGTTTCATGCGCAAGAATGACGAGGAAACGGTTGATCATCTTCTTTTGCATTGTCTTGTGGCTCAAGAGATTGCTGGATGTTGATGTTGGGTTTGTTTGGGGTTCTGTGGGTTATGCCCAGATCTTCTAGAGACTTGGTTGAGGCTTGGAGAGGTTGTCCAATGGGGGCCCAAGTTCGTGATTTCTAGAGGGTTACACCTTTGTGTGTCTGGTGAAGCTTATGGCTTGAAAGAAATAGGATATCCTTCAAAGGAGAGGAGAATCCTATTGGGACGTTGAAGCTTTCTATTATTAGAACCCTTTTTTGTAGGGTTCTAGGGAGATATTGTAAATCCTTGGAGGAGGAGTCTTTCGGGGTTTAAAGGCCCTATTTAGCCTTGTGTAGCTTTTGAGGGATGCGTTCCCCTTTTGGACGCTCTTTATACAAATCTTTTATCAAAAAAAAAAAAAAATTGTTGCTACTAGCAAAGCCACAAAATAGGATCCTAAAACACCACATAAGTCTTCTCTCCAATCTTGTGAACACTAACATGTTTGTGTTCTCTCCAATCTTGTGATAACCAACATGTTTGCCAAGAAAGGTCCCTAATGCTGCATCTAACAAGGTGTAGAATCTGTAGAGATTGTTAGACTTCATGGGTTATCCACTTCCATCTATCAAATAGAGATGTCAGGTAGACAATACTTTCTTACACTTAAAGTTAATTTTAGGAATTAATTTTAAATTTTCTTTCCTATTTCATCATTTGAATGATAGAAAAATTGAGACTTTTAAGCAAAGTCTAATAGATTTAATTAGCTTTCATGAGGATAAACACCTTGCCATTAAAAATTTATTGTTACCTATTATCAAGCATGTTTATAATTGCTATTAACATGCTTGAAAAACGATTGGTCTACTTGTAATTGTTCCTTTGTAGGTTCATTGATCTTATTACTTCGCCTCAGTGGGTCATGCCTGGGCGCGAGAGGCTTGATTGATGTTTGGAGAGGGTGCTTTGTGGGACCCCACACCCGTGATTTTTGGAGGGTGGAGCCCTTATGTCTTTGGTGGTGTATTTGGAGGGAGCGGAATAGAAGATCCTTTGATGGAAAGGAATCTTCGACTGGGGCTTTAAAATCTCCTTTCATTAGCTCTCTCTTTTGTTGCGTTAAGGGAAGATATTGTAGATATATAAAGGAGATAATTTTGCAAAGCTCTCACTTGATTAACCGACATTAGAGAAGGTAGTATTTGCCAATGATGGAAGTGTTGGTGATGATGAAACAAATGAAGATGGGTTAAATGATGAATATGAATAAATGAATCATGATCTTTTTTTTTTTTTTTGGACTAGCCTTTTGGCTTCGTGAATGCTAACATTGAAGTTCTAAATGTTACTCCCTCTGTCCCATATTAGATGTCACACTTGGGGGGTATAACTTTTTAAGTGGACATGTAATTATTGCATTGTCCCCTTTAAGAACTACTAAGTTGCCCTTTCAAGTTTGAATTTTATATAATCAAAGTTAGAAATTTTTAAAAGCTTGAGGATATTTTATGAAAAGATGTGAAATGTGATGTTTGAATTTAGAAAGTAGACAACTAATTTGGGACAACCAAAATAGAAAGATTGACAACTAAATTGGGACGGAGGTAATAATAGTTAAAATGATTGTCGATGACGCATGGTCGAAATGTATCGTAGTGGTTGACATATGACTTGCTGATGATACTTTTGTATTTGACGTAAATTAGTTGGAATGATGATTAAACGATAAAACTAGTTTTATTCTAATGTCTCATTCTGAATTGGTTTTACGAGTTTGAGACATAGTTCTCCTATAATTATTGTTGTTGTGGAGTATATTCAATTGTGTAGTTGTTAACCAATAATTCTATAACCTATATATCTTTATAGTTCATCGGTTATGACTTATGTGAATTTTTTTTTCATTGTTTGGTTGATGAAAAATAATATTACTCTTAATTTCTTGAAGTACATCACATATATCTAATACATTTATTATTCATCGTGTCCATGCAGCGTCCATATCCTAATTTTTTTAGATTTTCCATGTCGCTGCGTCTGTGTCGTGTCGCATCCATTTCCATGCTTCTTTGATTGGCAGCAAGACTGATTCATTCAAAAGAGATCTCAGTAGATCTTGATCTTCATTACGGTTATCTTTCAGTTTATTTAGCCACACTTTTTGCACTTGTTGAACGGAAAAGTTATTCACTAGGGCATTGAAAATGTATTCATTCACATTCCCTGGAAAATTTTCTATTTGTGGAAAAGGTTGTGTTGTGATGTTCGGCTACTTGGGTATAGAAGAAGTGATGGTGGTTGCCAATATTAATGGTGGAAAGTAGTGATGGAAATGATTGTCAAGTTAAGGTTGCCGCTGACTGTGATTGCTGTTGGTTTTGCACCGCAATGGTCAATAAATGTTGGGAGGTTGCCTACACAACCTTTCCAATATCACCAGGCATAACCTCCCTCACACACATTAGAGCTTCTATCTCTATCATATATTTCTAACGCATCATTACTACTGATACAACCTCAAGCCCACAGAACTATTAAAATTGGTTTCGTATTGTGCCTCATTTGCCTGAATTTGAAGACATTTGGACAATTAATACAAAATTGAAAAAAAAGAGTGAAATAATATGCTTTCTATGTTAATTAGTAGAGGTTTTGGTATAAGAATGTAATAGGTAGATGAAGACTTCTTTTCTTCCATTTCTATTTAGATTGAAGGCTTTTTTTTTTTTTTTTTTTTTTTTTTTTAAGTTTTTATTGTTGGAATCTTTTTATAAGTATTTAGATTGAAAGAATTCCAAAGTATGAAGATGATAAAATGGCTCTAGATTAGTTCCAAATTCTAAATAAATATTCCCCAATCCCTATTCATCTCTTCTTTCTCTCTGCAGAGTTTTGGTTCATTTCTAATTCTCTAGGCATTGTTTTCTAGCTCCGAGATCATAAATTGAGAAAATCAAAAAAATATAAAAGAGGATAATCATGGTTTCTGTCAATATGAGGAACGGTGATGGTGTATATTGGCGTGTCGATTGGCAAATGATCATTTACCATGATTCATGAAAAGCAGTTAATGGAGGAGCAACTAATGTTATAATTCAATCAACAAAGCTGGAGTTAGGTTGATGAAATAAGTTGATGGGTTTTGTAGGATTGTAGTTGGCATTAAATGAGTACAGTATAGTCCATGTGCCATGTGTACTTCATGCCATTGTTTCTTTCTATTTTTGGTATTTTCTTTTTCCAGACTAATTTTGGTATATCGTCCAACGTCAATTAGTAACAAGAAGGTAATGAAAACACAGACGATGAAATGAAGCTAGATGAAGGGGATGATCAGACAAAAAGAAAAGGGGGAATGAGAAGTAGACGACAAGATGAGAACAGATAGATAAAGAGAATAGGAAAAGCAAGAGTAGGGAGAAAAGAAGATAACCGAAGGGAATGAGATGAGTAGGAGTCAATAGTGAAGTTTAATGGAATATAACCCGATTACATCATAGCCTTTATATAGGCATAACCCTAAACGGAACATGGTATCCCAATAAAATATGGAAATTTCTCAACACTTGCAACCACTAAAGATAAAGGAAAGCCAAATTTCTAGATTCTGCCAAAAGAAAATACCAAATTTAACATAAATAAATAATTCCTAAAATTAGAATAAAACCCCCAAAGGTATATTTCTTGCGCCTGCCAAGCATAGGAACAAATCATGCGGGCAAGGGAATAGATGTTTAACTTTAGAGATTCATACAATTAGAGACATAGAGGGAGGATAGAAGGAGATCGTGGGTAAACAGATATTGTGGAATATAGCCAAAGCTCATAGAGGTCATTGAATCTATCCTGAAAATTAGCTATTTTATTTAGAAACACATGAAGTGCCCAAAAATTCACCCCTTTAGTAACTGGACCCAAACCTAAACCCAACTAAATCCTCAAAACCCATCCTTACCGAATCCAATCCAGCTTTCTAGTCCAAAACTAAGACCATACCTTGATGTTCATCGAATTGAAAGAAAGAAGCCAAGGAATGAAATGATGGAACTTTTATTTGTCATTCCTAATGATGAAAGATGTTGAACAAGTTAAAAGACCACCATAAAAAATTCTAAAATTTACAAACCAAGTATATGAAAATAAAAAGATTTAATTTTTTTTCTAATATTTTTCTTGAATGGAGGATTGTAAGTGAGTTAAATCTTCAAAAATACAACATAATAAAAGCAAAGTAGAAAAGAAACATTGAAAAATGTTTCATAGTCTAAGGTCAAAGGATCTTAATTCAGAAACAATAAGAGAAAAGACGACTTGATTAAGTCAAAACATTTTGAATATCGAACAAAATTGTAAACAGGACAAAGTCGACCAGTGGGTCCATGTGTATGATACACCTTTTTGTTTGGATAAAACACATGGGCACTATACATGCATGTCGTCATCCAGTCATTGCCTAACCACCAAAATTAACTCGACTCAAAGGTCATTATTAGTACCGATCCCACCTATGCAAGGTGATATGAGAGGAACAAACATAAACCTTTGACATCTTTTTAGCACAAAACAAAATGACCACTCTCACAGTCAAACCTGAGTTCTGATGCTTGTGAACTCAAAAAAACTATGTATACACATGTACAAGTATACAAACAAAAATACTATATACATGACCAAGTTCTGATGGGTATGATACCCTTTTTCGTTGGGATGCCTATGAGAAAGATACGGAAATGTATATGATATAGCTTTCATGTATGAAGTTATCCACATGTATGCAGTACTCCTTGCATAATCTAAATGTTTAATGAGAGTATAAAAAGGTAGTTCCCAAAACTACAAAGACATCAATAAAATTCTAAGGTCAAAACTAGAACCCATTTATGCAACCAAGACATTCAAAATGGTTAATTCAGCTAACATTTAAGAAAGTACAGATTGATACCTGAGAGTTGCTACCATGGTTCTCTGTATCCTCAGCTTCCTCAGAAACCACTAACAGTATTAGCAACACAATAGGTTAGATAATTACAAATATATATATATACAGAGAGAATTTGCAAGCCAAAAAATTAACAAGAACCAAACTCAATTAAGACACTCACAGTCATTTATCCCAGCTAGGGACAACAATCTGGCAGCCATTTCTCGTTCTTCAGCATCTTGTAGGGCTCTCGCAAAGGCCTCATCGCTTGGAAAACTAGCCGGATCTAACTCAACACCAGAGTTATTACCCTCTCCAGATTCAGCATGTGCATGCACGTCGAAAGCATCCTCATCATCATCGTCCGCGTCAGTAACATCATATTCATCTTCATCTTCACTGGGATCATCAAAATCATCATCGTCCTCATTTCCGTAGCTTCCAACTTCCCAACCTCCATAATCATCACCATTCAATCTCAGCATCATATATGCCCTTTCCTACTCCACACCAATTAGACTTTAATTCATCCAAACAAGGAAATAAAGAACTACAATGCAATCAGTAAGAATTCAAAAACTAAGAAAGACATTCTAGCTTTCCCAAGAAAGGCTTAAAATTTACGTTTCTTTTCTTTTCCACACTTTCTGAGCAACCAAACACACAAAATAGAGTTCAAAAATGGAACTTAACAACTACAGCACCCTAACAATAAAACCCAGAAGAGAATCATATAAAAAGCCAACGAAACATGGTGATTGGTGAACATCAGAAAATAGACCCAAAGAGAGAAAATGAAACCCTGATTCAGAGATAAACAAACACACACACACACATATATATAAATTGATTAATGAGAAACCTGTTCCTGTAAGGTTCTGGCGAGAGCGAGATCAGCATCGACCTGACTGAGATTTGTGAAAGGAGTTCTCGAGGACTGACGAGATTGGTTGTTCACGTTGTCCGATCCTTCCTCTACAGTGGCTGAATTATTAGGGTTCTCTTCGTCGGTTGTAGTGCTGGTGTTATTCGATCCGTCGCTAGCAGCTTTCGAATTCTCCATTGAATTTAAAAAAGCGGAGCTTGATGAATTACCAGAATTGATCAATCGGTGGAGATGGTAGTAGAGGGAGGTTGATCGTATCGGAGATGATTTTGAAAATCTGAGACGCCGACCAAAGTGATGATTGAAGAGAGAGAAAGAGAGAGAGAGGAGAGAGAGGGGGGGCGGAAAGTAGTGCGACAGAAATCAAATTTTGTGTTGCTGGGGCTGTGTGTTTTGTTCATCACTTTTATTACATCAATCTCTGGGGCAATTCCTCT